GGCGGGGCCACCACCGATGACGGCAGCTCGGAGCTTGCGGCCGACGAGAGGGGCATTGTCGGATTTGGAGGAGGTAATCTTGAAGGAATGGGAGTGTGAGGAGGGAGAGCGGGTTGTAGCTGTTAGAGAAAGAGAGGAGAAAACCTGGAGGGAGGTGTGTGGTGATGCAGCAGCAGCCGCCATTGAAGCTATCATTGCTTCTTCGTTGGAATTGGGGATTTAGGTTTCCTTTGCCGGCTGTGATCTGTTGGAATGCTCCCTGCTATGCTTTATATATAAAAGAAAAATATTGAAGCCTTGCCATTACCACAGCTACAGGCGACCAACCCTCATTAGATTTTATTTATTTATTTGGAATACAGAAGCTCGTATTTAAAATTCATGCATGTATTCTATAACTCGTTTTCTTTTTTCAATTTTATAAATTTCTACACAGATGGCCCTTGAAAACTTGCTAATAAACAATCTCCAAGGGAAGTAATAGAACCTGCACTATGGTTTACAATACATTATTCATAATTTTTTTAACAATATTTCTTATTGCATTATGTTTCCCATTTCTAGTCACTAGTTATAATGTTGTAAAAAGTAATCAAATTGACATCCATACAATTTATAAAATAAAAAGAAGAGTAGAATAATTAGTGGTGAAAAAAAAAAGGAGAGCGAACTGAACTAAAAGCAGATGCATTCAGTTTACGTGAGAGAGAATTTTTAAGCTTTCATCATTTTGTTTTGAGGATTTTTATAAAGTGACATGAGCGAGCCAAACTACAATTCGAGAAGCTCATGGGAGGGGAACAAAATCATCAAATAGCCGGTGCTTGAAATTGAGGTACAGAATTAACAACTAAAATTCACTGCTGCTACCAGCTTACTTCAAATTAAAATTGAAGGAAACAGATAATGATTCAATCGCCTAAGCTTTAAGCTTTCCACTCATTCCCCGTTTGCTGTGCCAAACGCTAACACGATCGCTGTTCAATGGTGTTTTCTTGGCCGCAACCGAGCACTGATCACTCCTACCACCACCACCTTTGGTGTTCATTTCTATTTGAAGCCTACGCCGCCTCATCCTATTCTCTAACCTAATTCCTCTTAGAGCACGAGCTCTCCTTTCAGTTTCCAGAGCCTGCGAAAAGTTCCAGATCCTCACAACACCTTCCTCTCCTCCACAAACGATTCGATCCGCACCAATATCCACACCAAACAAATTGCTCCCAAATCCGTGCAACATTCTCTGCGGAGGCTCCACACTGATACTCCTGGCATGCTGTCCCACGGAATCTCTCTTCCACAAAGTTCGTGTCCTCGTCCTAAGCAATGCTCTCACGTCAATGAGTGAGAGTTTCCCATCACTTGAAGCTGAAACCAGCCACGGAAACTCAAATGCTAGGGAATAAACTGGACCCGAATGAGGAATCCATGATCCAACAAGCTGAGTGGTTGTATCAACACTGCGGTTAGTAATATCAAACATGTGAATTGCACCATCTTCCCCTCCAGTAAATAGAAAATCCCCTGTATGGCTTCGTGCCAAGGCATAAGCCTTGCCAACATGAGCATCATGAATGATAGTAGCCAACTCCCCACTACTAGTATCCCAGACGTATACATCGGAACCTGATGTGCTGGCAACCGTAGTATCATGAGGGACTAGTCCCCAAACCCAGTCACCGTGCCTCAAGATCCTTAAGCACTTTTGTGAAAACCGATCCCATACTCGAACAGTCATGTCCCACGAACTGCTATAAATCCTTGTTAGGTCCAGAGCAAGTGAGGTTATGGGTCCCTCATGCTCCCAAAGCCGGAACTCAGTATTGTGATTTTGAGGGCCTTTCACATCAAACAAGTGAGGAAGCCCCTCTATTGCCTTCCAACAGTGGATAAAGCCATCAGTACCTCCAGCAACCAATAACTTTCTATCAGCTGCAAGTGCACGAATGGTACAACCAAGTGATCGCGATGAAACAATGGATAATCCTTCTTCCAAGCCCCAGATTCTCACAATTGAGTCATATCCAGAAGTAAATATAAGTTTTGCAGAAGCCAGAAGAAACACTGTACGAACTGCTTCAGTATGACCATGCAAAACCTCCATACTGTATCGTCCCATAAAAGTCCTGCTCCTAAACTCTCTCTCCACAAAAAGATCTTTCCATGACTTCTCATCGGGAAATCCAGAAGCGGCCACAGGTGCCGATGCAGCTGGAAGTCCCCATCTCTCGCTGTAGAATTCTTTCCACACATGGTGTTCAGATGCTAGCCTATGAAGAATCGTCGACGCACAAGATACAATGCCAAGCTCCTTTGGATCAAGGCAGTTCAAAATCTCAGATATAATTGCAGGCGGAAGGTCGGTAATTGACCGACAACCAATGGGTACAATTTTAGAGACTGACTTCGGAGTAGATGAAGTAGTATTTCCCTTTTCCAAGCCAAATTCCGATGTGCCAGATAGAATTCCCTCCGGTTTGCCTTTGAGGTTGAAATAACTTGATCCAGCGGTTGATTTTTCACAATAATTTTTCGCAATAACTCTTGAATCCTTATAAAACCCGGCAGACTTCTGGCATTCAAATTCCATAAAAATAAATCTGACCCTAAGACTAGAAGGAACGAATAGGAACTTCAAATTCAACCACGAAAATGCAGCAAATCAGGAACCGAAATCGAGAAGAAGTTTTGAACCCAAAATCTATCAGCAAGAAAAAAATGAAACCTAATCACAGAAAAAACCCTAAGGGAACAAAGGGAGGAAACCAACAAGGATCGAACTGCAAAAGGAAGATGAAAGAGATACAGAAATTGGGAGACGAGTAGAAGCAACAGAATCTAATCCTAAAAAATCCAAAAACCAGGGTTACGCGAAGACATACGGATTAGAGAGATTGAGATTGACGATAAACGATACCTGGAAGAGCAGGGAGGAAGGCGGAGCAGACGATCCTTGTTGGAGGATGGAAAGTGCGTTTAGTTTGGGATCTAGGGATTTGCAGAGGAAAGAGGAAGAGAGAGAAAGGCCATAAAACAAAACGAAACAAGGAAGGGCAGAGGGTGCGGATGAGAGAGAGGGAAAATTAGGGATGTGAATTGTGCAGTTATCGCCTACCCTCCGATTCAGCTTCCTTATCGTATACATTAATAATTTATTATTTATCAGTATCACACATACTTCAAATCAATTTTTATGAAATTACTTTACGTCGGAATAAATGTTGTAAATACCATATCCTTCCAACTTGCGTGACGAACAATACTGGAATATAATTTTTCAAACACTTTAAACTTTGCTTACTGGGTGGATTTATATTTATTATATGTAGTTTATACGAAATTCTCAACAAAAATAATAATAGTAATATTAATAAATAAACTGGCGCCTATATTTAATGCTTCTTTTTTTATTATTATTATTACAGTGCCTATATTTACTCTGGTCCTGGTGCAAATGTTTGGAGGAAAAGGAAAAGCCCCACTGACGACAAATTCAGTGCAATGGTTTGGCATGTAATTTAAAATTGGTCCTGGTCCAACCATGGCTAATTTAAATTTGATTGGAAGATACATCTAAATATGGTAAAATATTATTTTGGTCTATATATTTTCAACTTTAGTTCACCCCAATTACTATACTTTCAAATGGTTCTTCTTGATCGTGTAATTTTAAAAAGTGATAACTTTTGTCTCTATTTTTAAGATTTCAACACAATTATACCCATACGAAAACCTTTTGCTATGAAATACTCGTTACATTTCAAAAAAATATACTTAGTATAATGTTGGATTGAAATTGTTTTTTGTTTAATACTTGTGGGATGATAAAAATCAAACAATGAAGGCAATTAGCTCCTCATTCACTTATTTCTATGAAAAAACACACGTCTTACTTAATTAATTTTGCTCCAATTTACAGAAAGTGTTGAAGTTGATGGTCAATTTACTTGGTGGCAAGTTTATCCAAAGCATAAGAAAATTTTGAAGTCCCCCAAATTTAAGTGATACATGAATTAGGTCATTGTATCGTGTGCTCCCTAGTCCCTACACCGCATTTATTTCAATTTCCAAATTCCAATATATATTGAAATTTTGAGATGGCATATGGGCCGGGTGGCGTGCCAAGAAGAATAAGTGAGCCGCGTAAGCTGAAGTCAAACGTAGTAGGTGATCAAAAAATAACCAAAGTATACATTAATTAATTACTATAAATAATTTCAATGTGGATGTTAAAAAGAAAAAAAAAATAATAAATGGAGCAGCCTTTCAGGACCTTTCTCTCCCTCTCTTCTTTCTGTATTTCCTTCATGTAAAACATATCGGTAAAATTCAATTTTATGCTATATTTGAAAAATAAAAGTTATGATTTTCTAAAAATACATATTAATTTTGGTGTAAAATTTCTCAATATTTTTTTCTCTTCCTTCTAAAATAAATTTTAAAATTCGTTTGATTACTTGGAAGATTACATATATATAATTTATATGTTGAAATAAATTCTAAAAAAGACGTGTATCAGCAAAGTGTCACACAAGTTGAAAAGTGTGAAGTGATATAAGGTAATCTATTGAAATAGGTTGAAAGAGGTGTATTATGCAAATAAATCTATAATTTAGAATTATTAAAAAAAATCCTATATAATTGAGCCCCTAAAATCATAAGTACTCAAATGTGAATAGTTTCCATCATTTTAAAAATAGGATCGCCCATAAAAAAAGGAACTGTAAAAAAATGTCATTATTTTTTTAAGGAATAGAAATTGTCAACTTAATATATATATATATATATATATATATTTATTTATTTATTTATTTATTTATTTATTTACCGTGTTTTCTAGAACATGATCACCAAGCAGCCCTAAAGATTTATTGTTTATTGATGTGTAGCATTTTTTAATATTTTTTATTTATTCTGGAGAGAGATAGGAATTAATGAAGCAACAATAGCATCATGAAAAATACCTTTTTTTTTGGTGAACTACTTCAATTATATATCGTCTCCTTCTGAACCTCAACTAAATTATTCACATGCTTACCACACCCACCTCCACTCTCTACACCGAAACATTATTTTACTCAATATATTAAACCCAGCCTTTAATTATAAGGGTTTGAGTATCAATTACAACTTAAACATACCGTAATTAACTACACTTAAACATATCGTAATTAACTATAAATCATAGAAATATATTTGGCTCATGGATGGGTACCGATTTTGTTTTCACCATCATTAAATATTTGATAACTAGAGAGAAAATTGTTAAACATATAGACTATTTAAAAAAAATAATGGTTAAAGCAAACGTAACTTGGTAATTATTTACATATATCTCAAACCAAGAGGTTGTGAGTTCGATCATCCACTCCCACGTATTGTACTGAAAAAAACAAATAATGAGATGTTAATTATTCAACGAGAGGGTAGACAATATTTGATCTTTACCAATTAAGAGCAAAATAAGTTTCTAAATCATATACATTTGAGACATTTAATGATTTAATTTGGACACATTTAAGTTTCTAAGGCAAAAAAATATACAAAAACATATTTAATATTATAAAGTCTCTGCACTATATATTCAGATGAACGACTTTGAGAAGTAAAAAAAAAATGAATGACTTTGAAAGTTCGGTTGCCTGGTTTATTTTTTCTCGACTCGCTTCTTCTAGTTCCGTTCCGACCTTCTAATGCTTCTTCTGATACGCATCAAAAGTCATATATAATTTTCAACCAACACTTTAGTCAACATTTTTAATTAATATAACTACAAAAATACGAATAGCCTTCCTTTTTTCTTTTATTTTACTTTTGAAGCCACATCCTAAAAGTCAAGTATTGGAAGCTAAAAAGTCATCTCACATGTTTTTTGAGGACCGAGCATCAAATTTTATATATCTAATATATGTATATATATACGTTACCATAGCAGAGGTGAGAGCTCTAATATTTCTGTAGAAGATTTCTTATTTCGTGCCAGTTTTTGTTTTGATTTAATTTGTTCTTCAATAATATCAGTTCCGATCTCGTACCTTTTGATCGCGTCCGTCCGTACGTCCATGGCGGAGAATCAAAAGATACATCCCGTCCACGTGGATCTGGAGGCACCACAGACGACGGCAACTCCGGCCACCGAGCCCTTGGTGCCGCGCGGAGCCGAGAAATCCGACGACGGAGGGCGGCGCACTGCCGATCAACATCCTCCTCCGTTCCGGCGGACGATTCCGGTGATGCACTCGAAGCCGCCGAAGAAGAGGCGAAGCTGCTGTTGCAGGTGCCTGTGCTGGACCTTCTCAATTCTAGTCCTCCTTCTGATTGCGATCGGAATCGTGGTCGGAATCCTGTACCTGGTTTTCCGGCCGAAGCTTCCGGAGTACTCGATCGACAAATTGCAGGTGACGCAATTCGCCCTAAGTGGAAACGACAGATTGGACGCGACTTTCAATCTAAATCTGACGACCAGGAACCCTAACAAGAAGATCGGAATATACTACGAAGGAGGAAGCCACATAAGCGCGTGGTACAGAGGAACGAAACTGTGCGAAGGGGCTTTACCGAGATTTTACCAAGGGCATCGGAACACGACGGTGCTGAACGTGCCTCTGGTGGGAGTAACGGAAAACGCGACGGCGCTTTTGACGACGCTCCAGCAACAGCAGCAACAGAGCGGAAACATTCCGTTGAATCTGAACGTGAAACAGCCGGTGAGGATAAAGCTTGGGAGCTTGAAGCTGATGAAGGTGAAGTTCTACGCGAGTTGTAGGCTGTTGGTTGATAGTGTTTCAGCAAATAACGACATCGCCATTAAAGACAGTAGCTGCAACTTCAAGCTGAGGCTGTAGGATAATACGCGATTCGACTCCTTCCTACTGTGGTATTAAATTATTTATATTTATTGTATTAGTTTGTATCGTGATTTGTTATCATTTTTCTGTTAATTAATTATTTTCTTTTCGGATTATTAGATAGAGAGGGGTTGGATATTGTCTCACTTTCACACGCGTATGTACATATGATGCCTATATGAGGTTTGGATACATTTTGTTTTTCTTTCACACAATATCTATGATTTTATACATATTTTAAAGTCTACTTTTGTTATTTTTACTTTCTTACTGAATTTTTAAATATTCCACTCTGGTCTAAATTTGGTATAAAATGTTATTTTGTATATACATTGGGTTATATTGAGTTGTTTTTTTTTTCAAATCCAAATCCGATTTTTGGTAAAAACAACAAAAATCAACAACATGATCATAATGTTCTAATTGCATAAAGTGCAAACAAAGTCTCGCATTATTATGGAGAATAATATCATCTATAGTATACAGTTATTAGTACATAGGTAATGACAATTATCTTCATTTATATATTTATCACGAAGAATATTTGAATTTTCATCAGTATTTTATTCAAGAATATATATTTGATTGAACCTTCCAACTCAATAAAATGATTGAGTTATGCTCGACAATGTTGCAATATTTATACTGGGAAATGTTACACAAGTCCTTTGTTAAATAAAATTTGTTTTGATAGCAGAAATAGTTCCTCAATGTCAATTTAAGTTAAGAAACATTAATATATTTAAGAAGTTGTTAAGCTTTTTTTTCTTTCTTTTTTTCCACTGACAAGATACAATGCCATTTTTACTTTGAATATTTCTTTTAATTGACAATAAAATTTTTTACCTCGATAAACTCAAACCATAAGATTTCAATTTGTTTGGATCCAGGCCAAACAAGTATATAAATCAACTCAACTCATACATTTTGGGTTGACTTGATTACTTTCTTCACGCTGATACTGCACATGGTATTTTCGGTATATTTTCTTAAATATTTATAAATTTAGATTTCTAAATTTAAATAAGTTTTTTTTTTCTAAATTATCCTTGATATCATACTGTTACATCTATTATTATTTTTTAAAAAATATTTTTTTAGTGAGAATGAATAGTCATTTAAGGTAAATATCTACCTTAGTGATTAAATTAATAAATAATTAAACAAATATAGTAACTAGATTAATGTACTTATTATTGCCTAATTTTTCGAGCTTTTTTTTGTTTTTTCATAATTCAAGGTTTAAAATATAAAGTTTTATTTCTTATTTCTTGCTTAAAAACAAAGATGGTCAATGGGTCTAGATCATTTAAGATTTAGAGTTTAAAGTTTTCATTTAATTATTAAAAATATATGAATAGGAGTAGCTCAATAACTTTCACATTGCTGCCCCATAATAAACGAGTTGCTATTTTGACAATATTAAAATATTAGAGTTAAATTTTAGACATTTAATATAATGAAGTGCCTAAAAAGCTCTATTTTGTTTTGTTATCAGTTGAATTTTGTAAGATTCATATAAACACATATCTTATTGGGTGGATGGATTTAGAGTTGCTTTATACTTCTAAAGTAATTAATACAAACTTAACAATAATATCAACAAATTTTGTAAGACTATAATATAATATTTGACAAAGGAGAATAATCATAATAAAGATCAAAATGTATGTAAATTAACAGGAGGAAAGAGATGAAAGTAAATTCAGACTTATTCTTACAACATACCTGAATGTTAAGAAGAACTTCAACGTGTGAGGAAACTTATGGAAAGCAAACATAATTGAATTTTATTATTTATTTACCTTTTGAGGAATTTATATATTTTAGGGCCCTCCCCTCCCGTGTTCACGGTGTTTAAATTCCACCAAAATATATCTTTAAAAAGAAAATAGTAAAGTGAGTTAGTTGAGTTTTATAATAAGCACATAACGAATTGGGAATTGGGAGTTGGGAGTGTTATCGTGAGTGATGCCCCTTGTGACTCCACGTGTTTTTAGCAGCGATATAAATTTAACTTAAAATGTAATTTTGAAGTTGTGAATAAAAATTGAGGGGTCGTAGCAATAATTAGTTAACCACATGTTAACATGACCCAGCTCACTAATAGTTGGTATTGATTCTAAGGTTACGGTTCGAATCTCTTACTCTATTTATATTAAAAAAATCAGCTACAAAACCATAACTCAATTACATTTGAAGTGGATTTACACCTTAATTTCAAATTTCACATGTGCAATTTAAGAGTTTATCATCTCTCCTACATTTAAAATTTTCACTACTAATCTTAGTGAGCAGTAGATTAAATCTCATTTATTTATTATTATTAGTTTTTCATTAAATAATATAAGAGGGATATTCAAACTTCTTCAAGTTTTTTTTTAGTACGGTCGATTAATTGAACTATGTTTGCGACATATCCCTTGAATAAGAAATAATATAATCAATGGTGATTGCATCATAAAAAAAACTACTACATTCGAAGAGTCGTTGTCGACTTTCAAAACAATATTGGATGTTATCTCATTCAACTTTATTCCTAAGAAAAAGGGCTTTAAAATGTCACTCGAATGTGTGTATCTTCATATTTGTTGTAATTTTGCCAAACCCCTAACGTTACTATTCTATTTGTTTAAACTTTCAATGAGGTTTTGAGTTATTTTTAAATTCAAGTGGATTTTAGACGAGTTATGTTGTTTATCATGTTTTAAAATAAAACTTTAACGTTATAGGAATTTATACTCTCAAATTATCAATCTTTTTCAAAATTGTAGAAATAAAATGCTAAAAAGTCAGCATAACTCAGCGGTAGTTGACATGTATGTCCCATTAAGAGATTGTAAGTTCGAATCCCCACTTTAGAAAAAATTAAGTGCGCTCTCGAGTGGTTTCTTCATGCAGTATACAGAATGTCGCAATATTCATTTGAGTGTGATGCGTTTAGACCCAATAACAAATAAATATAATATTGTGGTCATGGTTATAGAGGAGAGAGGAGGCTGCGACGATGTGTTTGTCAGCTTATTGATTGTCTTAAATTTTGAACTCGATATTACTAAGTTTATTTTTGGATCAAGCACATGTGTCTCCCCTTCTTAGTCATCAAATGACACATCATCAATTTATTATCATGTTATAACATTTTTTTAGCCAAATTACAACTTGATTATAAGTTTATAATCTAAGCTAAATAGATGTATTTATTGTAACAGAAATTAAACGTTAAATAGGGGGAGGATTAGAGAAGTTGAATTGCTAATTTGATAGAGGGGACAGGGAGGGAAGTGGGGGGCTTTAGTGGAACAGAAAAAAGGCATTTAATTGAATTGGAGGATTTCGGCCGATTCGCTCACAGTGTAGAGTTACAAACAGAACACTACATTTCACCACAGACTACACAATACAGCTCAGTCGCAGTCCTTTGTGCTGTTCTTTGCCCTGCGCTGCCCTGCCCTCGCTATATAAATTCACAGCAGCTCAATTTCACTCTCTTGTTCCGCCAAGTTCCCCCACTTCCCCCTTCTCTCTCTCTGCAACTTCTCCACCACTCTCTCTCTCCTCTCCATTCCACTGCTCCTCTGCTTTGCTTTATGCTGCTGTTCTTCATAAACCCTAGCACCCCACTCCCCTTGTTGCTACTTGCTAAAACCCACTTTTCGTTTCCGTTTCTGCTACTTTGATCCGCCCTCCTGCCACTATAATACTACCACTTCTATTCAGATTGGAAGCTGTCAAGTTTTTCGATTCTGGGCTTCCCTAATTTCACTTCCTATTCCCTTGTTCTTCGTTTTCAGTCTCCCACCAATCCTGCTATTCCTCATCCTCCCACTCTATTGCTTGGAATCTGCTGCTGAGAATGGTGATGGTGGAGACTGAGGTCGCCGACGATAACAAAGACACCAGTGGCCGCAAGTCTCCTTGGAAGACCCCCACTGCGGTCGGCGGGAATGAGGTGGATTCTCCGGTTATGGGAGCGGACTCTTGGCCTGCACTCGCCGACGCGCAGCGCCCCAAAACTCTCGATGCCACTACTTCTGCCAAGTCTTCTGATTCAGGCGAGGTTTCTGATGGAGCAGCTCTTCAGTCTCCTTCGTCAGGAGCTCAGGTTAACTTCCCCTCACCCCCTAACACACCCACACACCCAAATAGCATAAATAAAAGTTCTGGGATGCAACTGCAACTGGTATCCTCTTTAACTTATTCGAGATTATAATCCTCGCAACGTCACCTACTTGACAAGTCAATTTTCAGTTCGCGGAGAAACTTTTGGAAGTTGCTTTTACGGGTTTGATTTTATTTCAGTCCTCAACCTATTCATCAATTGTTCTTGCACTAACTTATTTTTTTGGATATTGGCTTGATGCTTTGCAATTAGCGTGAACAATTTTCAACTGCGACTTAGCATTGAACCGAGGTTTGGGTATTCTCATGTTTTCCCCTCTTTTTCTCTCCTCTCCCACACACTCGTCTTGGGGAATCTTTCAATTTGGATAAATATAATGCTGCACGACGACGAATAATGAAAATGCTATCTATGGAGATAGCCTAAGCGATTGTCAGCGAGGCTTTCACTATTTAATCTAACTTCTTTTCTCTTTTCCCGATTAATTCCCTCAGATCCCTTTATTCTGTTCATGCTGTTTATTGTCGGTCAAATTTTTTTAACTGAAAAAGACTGAAAATATTAGTTCATATAAAACAAACGACAAATGCATTATTTTTAAGAAATAACACTTTTATGCAAATCTTAGTGTAGTTTTGAAGTGATTCCAGTATGTCCCTCGGGGAGAAAACTAGTTATTGATAGCTCAATATTCTTATAGATGTCATGAAAATGTGGCATTCCCTTTTGCTCTTATTGTTGGAAGTTTTAATTTTTAAAAAGTAATTACAGTTTTATGAGTGCTGTAGAAAATGAAAGGATAGTATTCTTCGCTTAAACTGCATAACAAGAGCAGAGTTGAAGATGTGTAATGGAATATTTAAAAAGGATTAAAGAAACAAAGGAAGAGATGCCTTTACATTTCTGCAGCGCATTAACATTATCATATCCAATTTATTTTACTTTTCCTCTTGACTAAATTTAATTGAAGAGATATGGTGCTTACAATTAGGGAACATATGCACAAAAGTCACCTGCATCTCGGAATCCAAGTTATTCACACAAGCATTTCCAATCACATCATCAAAAACCAAGCTCTAAGCGCAACACAAATGGTGCTCCACATATTTCTGTTCCATTACCTTATCATCAACCACCAATGCCTCCACTTTTTCCGCCAATATTACATCCACCACATCTTGCTGTTCCGGGATATGCTTACCAGCCTCGACCTGTAGCTGGTGTTGAAGTACATATGGTTAAGCCTGGGAATGAGACATCAGTACAAGCTTTTGTTCCACCTGTCGAGCCTCCACCCCGAGGTGATCCAAGTGCTTATGTTGTTGGTATTCATAATAGAAGACCTAATATGCAAGATTCTGGTATCCATTGGAATCATGCCTGGCATCATCAACGGGGATTTAATCCAAGAGACAACATGTCCATGCAACATGCTGCTGGACCACGCCCTTTCATACGGCCCCAGTTTTTCTCTCCAGCTCCTAGCTTTGTGGTTGGTCCAAGTTTTCCTGGTAATTATGCCATCCTAATCACCATTGAGATTTCATAAGATATGTAATCTCCTTGTCCCGTTCCTCTTCATTCTCTCAGTACAAAAATCTGCCACACAAAGTTTTAAACTGCTATAAATATCAATATATGCTGTGAAGTTGTTGAACTACACTAACATGAGATTTCATAAGATATGTAATCTTCTATGTTATGCAGGACATGCACCTATGTACTATGTTCCAGTTCCACCTCCTGATGCAATTGGGAGACCTCCTCAGTTCATTCCACACCCTATAACTCCAAGGGCTTCAATGCTTCCCCCAGATATGCTAGCTCTTCGAGCAAACATAGTAAAACAAATTGAGTATTATTTTAGGTAGGTCAATCTTCAATCCAGAAAGTGATTTTTTGTCATTCCCCCCACCCCATTTGTTGAATATATTGAGATTTTGATACTGCTTTACGTTATAATTTCTATTTGTTAAAATTAGTCACATTATAATTGCTATTTGTTAAAATTAGTCCTTTTATACATTCTATTTATTTATTTTTTTGAATACTATGTTACACCTGAATTTCTTGGCATAGCATTTTTGCTTAATTTTTTTTCCCTAAGCAAACTTGGACAGGTACAGGTATTTTCATTTCTTTTGACTGTAGCCTTGTTATTCATATTTTCATTTGGCATTCTTATATCAATTGGAACAACTTTTTTTCAGCTCCTTGGTAATTGAGTATCACTCACCTTTTTGTAGCTTCACTTATTAATGGAAATTTTCTTGTTTCTTATCTTAAAAAAAATTATGCTTTCAACTTATCCTGCATTTTTCTTATATTTTGATTGCAGCGATGAAAATCTGAAGAATGACCATTACCTAATATCTTTGATGGATGACCATGGATGGGTTTCAATATCAGCCATTGCTGAATTTAAAAGGGTATTGTTTAGTGTTTCATCGGAGCATTTTGGAAATTGTAAATGGGGCTTTTTTTCCATCTAGAAGATCTGTTCCATGGATTACATATAATCATGATAGAATGGAACACTGTGGTGTACTGATAGATTCAAAAGTTGTTCCTTGCCAATATATTATGCTTAGAGATTTCAGTTATCATGTTCTATCAACGAGATGAATTATTCATTGTTAACAGATGTTTTGAAATTTTGGTTCCAGGTTAAGAAAATGAGTAATGACATTCCGTTCATCCTTGATTCTCTGCATACATCTGCAAATGTTGAAGTTCAGGTATTTATTTATTTTGTTTTATGGATTTGTTGTATGTTTCTGAGTGCGAAAGGAATTCATATGAAATATTTGGGGAAATATAGAATTAGAAAATCTGATGTCAAAAGATTTTATTGATTTATAAACTTTAATTTATCCCTGGTTAACTTGGTCCTTTTATAATTGTCACCACTCTTATTTTTATCCAATTTACATTTTAGAGCGATAAAAATTATATGGAAGCTATATTGTTGCCTAATTCTTTCCCCTCTTAAATTGATATAGAAAATTTCTAGTTGGCTTTAAATAATTTTCTTATTTGTTTCTTCTCATCTAATAAATACTCATTCACATATATGTATTTTAAAGCAACCCACTCTTTTCCTTTATGCTGCTTGATTCTCAAAAAACTAGCGGACATGCTTCTTCTTCTTTATTTTTTGGTATTTGTCTTTAGTTTATGTTCAATAAATCTATGAAATGCATGGAGATAAAACCTTGAGACTGCAAGGATTTTAGTGCTGCAGTTAGAATGATGAAATTTAAAACGGTTGACTTTCTGCAACACGTATTTTGTAATGCCGTCATGTTGAGAAACCTATCTAACTAGAATGCTGTCATGTTTAGTGGGATCTTAAGTTCATACCTTTAAAAATTTATCTTATGGTGTGATATCGATTATTGCCTTTATTTATTTATTTGATTTGTTTCAGTTTTAACTTTTAATTTGTACTTCCTAACTCTTTTATGAACATATGCAGAAATTAAATCTCTTTCCCATTCTTATTATGTCTCTCATTTTAGATAGTGAGATTGTTGGACGGCATCCTGGCTACATGTTGAACTTGTACAAGCATTCGGTTTGTCTAATTTGTTTTAATAAAATGAAACATTGCTCCTAGTGTTACTAAGGTTTTATTTTTCTTAAGAGTTTTCAAAGCATCAGTTTTTAAGTTAGGTGTGGACCATACTCAAACGTGATAATTAAAGATACTAAATTGATGCTGGACAGTGGAGAGGAAGAGAGGAGTAGAAAGATGGAGAGATAGGGGAAAAGAGAAATGTCCATTTTGATGAATTTGGTGTATGATAATCTGTTTGGTCCTTTTCCGCATGGATGAATTTTGGAGATCCACATTTTGAGTGATGACATTTGTGGATTTTGTTCACCAGTTTCTAGTAAGCTAGTCATTTGGTTGGATGAGAATGTGCAGATATTGCTGAGGTGATAATTAGTGATTTGCTAGGGGTCTAAGGATAAATCAGAAAATATTCATTTGAATTTGAGGTAGATTGGTTTGATGCTGACTTGAATAATGCGGATCTCAAATATAATTGTTTTAGCTCAAATAGCAAAATCATAATGCATAACGATCATATGCTTAAAAAGTGGCATAATTCTGTGACACATTAAGATATGACTTTTCCCATTACTTGAATATCCTCTGCTTTTACAATATATCTGTACTGTGTGTGCATAAATGCACTTGAAGAAGAGGGATACAAGTACAAGTATTCCTAGTGAAGCATATATTGAAAATGAATAGGAAACTACGCAGGTTTGTAATGAAATGAAAATTATAATGCTGTACCTAACAAACCTTAATTTTCCGTAGGGTGACAAGGTGCGAAAACGTGATGAATGGTTAAAGTGGATTCCAATTCCTGCAGACTCTAAATCGACATTAAATGTTGAGACTTGTTCCAATCCGGTGGATGAGTCTACTAACTCTTTGGTGGATGAGTATACATTAGATGGTAGTAGAATGCAGGCATCTGAAGATAATATCAAATCTTCACTACAACAGGGTTGTTCACTGGAGCAGTTTTCGAACAGGGACAGCCCGGAAGTCGCAAATATAGATGTAGTAGAAGGTGATAGTTTGATTCTTCTACTTATGATAGAGTATATAATATTGTTATGACGTAGTAGTTCAGTGGGAGGTCAATTTCATCTGTTGGTTTTATGCTGATTCTTTGTTCAGACCATTCTCATGGAACTATGTCTCAAGGCATAGGGATTTCATCAAATGTTGGCGCTCATAATGTTGATGACCTATCAAGCCAGTTTTCAAGCACTTTCATGCTTGACGAAGAGCTAGAGATTGAGCAGAAAACAATAAAAAAGGATGATTTGACTTCAAGTGGAAGGTATATGATTGATTCTAACTGTTTGATGATTTTTATCTGTTCTTTCCTTCTTGGCATTAATTTTGGCACATAATTAAGTAATGTGAGTATTATCTGCAGTCTTTTACTCCTTTTGTGAATTGTGATTATCAGTGTCCCTCCACCTTACAAGATGGTGAATGATGATCTTAATTATTTCCAAGTTGTCAAGAAATTTGATGCAAATGTTCGACTTCTGATTTATTTTAATGAAGTTTGGGATTTTGTTACTATTCCCCGGACACCACTTCTAACAATTTTGGTGATTTTTCACGATTTTCTGGAAGCTTGGGAAACTTCTGTCTTCCGTTATCTCATTTTCAGTGAAAGTCTCATCTAAAATCTGTTTCTTTCACACGCTTGCAAATTATTCAACTCCTTCTCCATCTCTAATTTTGTTTTTCTTCCCTGCATACCTTCCACCATCTCTTTAATTCTCCATAAATATAACTTTCCTCTCTCATTTTGTTGTCATGCATGAATTAATTTTATAGATTTTATTTTACAAAGTATGATCTACCTGGATGGAAACAGTGGTGTTTGGCAGGTAGAGAAATTTCTTGCAAAGTTGTTTATTGGAGTTTTTATTATCATTAAATCTTTCCTTAAAATGCCTTTCTGTAATTGTATTTCCTTTTTGGTCAATCCCTGTTCTTTATTGAAGCTCTCCTGGCTCTTTTGGTGGATAATTATCTATCCTTCTGCATATCTCTTTTCTTCGATAATAATTTCTTTCTTTTTTAAGAAGTGGTGGCCACCTCTTTTTCTATTTGACAGAACATACAGCAGGTTACAGTTAGTAACTAATTGGCATAACAGTTCGTTACAATGAAGTAATTACTAGCCTGCCCAATAACAGTTGGTTCTGGTTGGATAATTGTTACATCATGGACTCTGATAGAAAATAAGTTTACTTTCTTGGTCATTTGATATTAGTATTTGACGAGTAAAATATGAAAATCATTTGTATTGGTGCTTGTATTAGAGTGTGAATAGGTTGTTTCTAGACGTCTTTGAAACAGTTTATTTTATGCAGATAGAGAGAGAGCCACTGTTTGCCTTGTGTGTTTTGACATTGTCCACTCAGGTTTATTATTATTATTTTTTAATTTGAATATAAATCATCCCACTCTGGACAATAGATCAGATCCATTGATATGGTAATTGGTAATACAGTTGGTAGAATGTTCTAAGCTGGTTTTAGATTATGATCTTTCTAATATTTGTTGTATCATCCACCAAGGATTGACGAAGATGACGACGAGATTGCTGTCAATGATCAAGATGTTCAGAGACTTATTATTGTCACCCAGGTAGAAGTTAAGGGAAATGATTTGCTTTGATGTAGCGCAACTGCTGCTCACTCTAATAACATCAATCTTACTTTTTTGTAGGGACATTAGATGAAAATTAAATCATGATATTCATGGTTTTTTTTTTTTTTTAATATTGTTATTATCTGTTGTTATATCATATATGAACCGTGATTCAATCATTCATCTGATTATTCTTGCTGTGAAGTGTAAGAAACCTAGAAATTTTTGTTGTGGCCAACTTTTCTAATCTAGAGCCATATTCACTTGGTGTTTTGTGTTCTGGAAGACAAATGTTTTCTCAAATGGGAATAAACCTATTAGTTTATTAGTCGGTCGTAGTTGCCCTCAATCTGAAATTGGGCCATATCATCTTTATTTGGTAGAATTTCATGTTTCTGATAGACAAGAAGTTATGATGGTAGCAAATTAAATGAATTAAGGATAAAATTGACTTTAAATAGATCAAGTGCCTGATACCGTTTTGGTTTATTTGAGTTTTATGAAACTATATTCCTCTTAGCGATATTGAGTTTGAAGGATATCTTTTATGGTTGCATGGGTTGCCCTGTTCATGTGTCCCTGTAAAAAGTTACTATTTTTGTTTCAATCAAGGGATTATAGCAACTACCCGTCTGCACTCAATTTGAATGTCCCTGAAATTACATCAAGTAAATGAGGATTCTGCATAGTAATCTGATTGTATTTGGATTCTTTTAATTTTTCATTGTTTCAATCAAGGGATTAAATTCATGATACTCAAATTGAGAATTTTAGTCGTTTAAAAATAAGATTCACTTTCATTTGTAAAATCAGTGCAGTATATTTTCTTAATGTAATGGTATTGCACTCCTTTATTATTGATGAAGAGAAGTTTAGCCTGTATTTCCACCTAGTATGATGTGAATGTCTTCTTGCGTGGATGCTAGGGTTTATTGTTCTTATTAATTCTGAAATTTGATAACCTCCTTTGCATATTGTATTTATGTGATGTGCAAAAACAACTTTTGTTTTAGAGACGAAAGAACACAAGACCGCAAGGTCATTTGGCAATAGAAGGGATTGCATGTACGAACAATTCTTGTCCTATTCCATTTCTTGTATGTATTAATTTTTAATGTTTTTTCTTTCATAATTGCTGTGCAGAATAGTGGCATTGAAAAGAGATCAACGAATGGAGGCAAAGAATCAAAATCAATATCTAAAGAGCTTGCTTCAACAATAAATGATGGTCTTTACTTCTACGAGCAAGTTGAGGAACCTACCATCTCTTTTATTTTGTTTTTATGCAATTCTCTCTCCCAATTTTGAATGATTGTTTAGTTGTTTTAACATGCATAGGTACTGGAAAAAAAGCGATCTAATCGAAAAAAGAGCAAGAGTAACTCAGAGAATAGGGAAGGAACCTCGAGATTATCTGGAAATGCTTCAGGATCAGCAAGGGCAAAACCTAGTGACAATTCTGCTGGATACTGTGGTTTGGATGAAATTGGGAATTCTAGTCCCAGGAAGAAACAAACTAAAACCTTCCCCAAACAACAATCATCGCATAAGCAACGCTTTTTCTCCAGCAACTTCAGAAATCATGGAACCAGTCGGAACTCTCTTGGGATTGTAGCAGAGAGTCCACCAAGCAATTCTGTTGGTTTTTTCTTTGGTTCTACTCCTCCTGAAAACACGAGGTCAGTCCGAAGAAGCTGCTTCCTCTATATAAAATGTGATGGATTTTCTTTCTTCTCAAGTACGCCTGCTAGTTATGGAATATACATATTCTCTGCACTTTACAGAAGAAGGAATTTAATTTGTAGGACCAAATTTTCTTTTCTATTGGTGTTCTAAACTAAGAAATCATTTTTCAATCTTCTTCCCCCACATTTATGAGGCTAATACGAGTATGATCTTATATTTACAGCTCCAGGCCGTCAAAATTGAGTGTTTCTCCTCATGGGTGTCTCCTTGGCAATAGTCCACCTGTGGGTTCCCTGCCCAAGTCTTTTCCACCATTTCAGCATCCCAGTCACCAACTTCTAGAAGAAAATGGTTTTAAACAGCAGAAGTGAGATAGTAACTTGCTTGTGTTATATATTTCTCGGATTTGAGGCTGGATTGTAATGTGAAGTCTGCCTATTTTTCTCATTTTAGGTACCTGAAGTTTTACAAAAAGTGCTTGAATGATAGAAAGAAGTTGGGAATCGGTTGCAGCGAGGTGGACTGCCTGCCTAACCTTTCCTATTCGTCACATTTATTGCATCCTGGACTAAAAAATATGCATGTGCATGGAGTTGCAGTAAATTACATCTGTCGTTCGGCCCTTTACTCATATTTTATGTTTGAAATCCATTCTCCTGGAGTATTTAACATGGTCCTTCGGTGCTAAATCTTCCATGAAATTATGAATATGCCCTTTATAAATTTGAAATTATATTTGATATACAAAATATTTCATTTTCTAATAATTGGTTTGGTAAAACGAGGGCAATATATTGGATAAAGCCCTTGGCTTATATCTGATCAAGTTCTTTTCAGCTTTATCAATCGAGGGATCCCCTCTTATTTCATGCTCTTGTCTTAACTGTACACGTGTAACCTTTTAGTTTGCCTTCATACTTGCTCTACAAACGTGGCTTCTTGGGAGTCAACGTTGTTAGATTCTTATATAATCAATATTAATTTTTTTACATTTATTTTTTCTATATATAACTTTACCTCTAAATTAATCCGTTTGTGCAGGAAATGAATACTCTATATCGATTTTGGTCTTATTTTCTTAGAGACATGTTTGTCGTTTCAATGTACAACGACTTCCAAAAATATGCATTGGAGGATGCTGCTTCTAACTATAATTATGGAATAGAGTGCCTTTTCAGGTTCTATAGGTATTGATGACAAATCATGCTTGCTTTCTTTCCCGTTCAAGTTTTTCTTGTTTACTTGCTATCTTAATTTCCTGAAATTTCAGCAAGAGTGTTACCTATACTGCTCACTTTTTTTAAGCATGATTTTTTTTTCACATGAATAAAAATTTAATTTCTAAACTATAATCTTCTGGAATGATTTTATAAGTTTGCCCATTTATTTTCTGGTATCAGTTATGGTTTGGAAAAGGAGTTCAGAGAGGATCTATACACAGACTTTGAACAGCTTACCCTTGAGTTCTTCCAGAAAGGAAATCTTTATGGCCTTGAGAAATACTGGTGAGTTCATATGTGTTTCCTGTTATTTTCAAGGTGCTTAAATTGCCAACTGCGGGCTTTAATCTATTTCAGTTACTTCTTATTATAATTCTTTGTTAAGTCGCAAAAAAGACATTATCTTCAAATAGTAAACTGCTAAATTTTTCAGTGGTCTGAGTGAGGACAAACAATAAATAGTGGGAATGCTGTCTTCCGTAATCTGTGTTTAGGTTCATATCATGATAGACAGCTCGTATTTAATCCTTTGGAAAAATGACCAAGTGCCAAATTTTGATAGGATAGTTATTATGGAAGGAGGATTTTTAGAGATGAGGAAAGTTCTTCTGAGGAGTTTTGGCCGTGGCTAGGTTGAATGCCTCTCTTTGGGTCTTCCTTACTAAAAATTTTGGCAATTATCCTTTATCTCTCACTCTTTTGAATTGGAGCTCCTTTGGCTTATTTTGGCTCATCTCTCAATTGCTTGCCCATGACATTTAACTCCATTAATGAGTTCCAAAAGTTTCTGCTAAAAAAAATGCACTGAAAGAGCAATTGACCCACTGGTTCTCCTGAGTTCCTCCATAACGTACACCAACTTGGCATCAATACCAGGTTTGGACTCCATTTCTGCAACCTTTCAGCTGGTGCTCTCTAGCCAAGCTTACCAAACAACAAAAGAGAGAAAAATAAACATATATTAGGAAATAGAGAATGCACAAGAAGGGCAGATAAGATGGCTATCACTAACCCTTTAGTTTAAGGAGATCAATTAAAATCTCTCCTATCAGCCGCAATAATAAGAAGAAAAAAATTAAAACTATTTGGTGGTTGGACTGGACATTTAGAGAAAATGTATATGCTTCTATATATTCTGACAACTGAAGTATTGAGGTACCCTACCTTGCATTATGCTCGTGGTTCAGTCCCACTAATCTCGGAGAGGCTTTGCCTGCCCAAGGTTAGCTCAGGAAGATAACACAAGTTTGAAGCGGTTAAGTTCTGAATGTCCAGAAGTTTGGAGATGTCTCCAAACATTCCCAACTCTTTACTCTATTGGCTTGCAAGTCTCATATTTCAGACTGTTCATAGGTTAAAAAGAGTTGAGGTTTCAATTCCTTCTACTCTATCTTTCAGCTGAATGTCTTCACATTATATTATCTCTGTGTTGGTCTAAGTTTTTTCCACCAGGTAGGGTCATCTTTTATCTATATTTGGCAGGGCTTTCCACCACTATCGTAGACAACGAGACCAGAAAGAGCCCCTAAGGAAACATCCAGAACTGGAAAAGTTACTTAGGGAGGAATACCGTAGCTTGGATGATTTCCGTGCTAAAGAGAAGGCAGCAAATGCAAAAGAAGACGGGCATTAGAGTGATGTGATAAAGCTTTATGGCGACATTCCAATTTTGAACAACAATTCTAACAACTTGATAGTTGAGTTGAGGAGCAAGTTTGGTTTTGAGGCTGAAATGGCTTTGTACATTATATCAGTAAGTAAATGCCTCTGTTATGGCTGCTGAGGTTTCTTATAATTTGAAGTGAGGCTCTGTCTTGGGGTATATATCTTCATTTTGGTGTTGCCTGCAAGCTTGAAGAAGAGGTCCCCACGTTGCCTGTCAGTCGCATTGGTATTCTCTGGACTGTAACATTGTAAATAGGGGAAAAGGAAATTTTGGATAAGCAACAAAAAAGCAAAAAAAGAAAAAGAAACATTGTTGTTGTTTAGGCCTTGTGAGAACTGAATAATAAGAAAATTTGATTTTTTTGGCTGATTATTAACTCTCTGTTGTTTTGTCGCAGCACTATATTGATATGTTCTCCAAACCTGCTCTTTAAGCTCCTGGATTCTTGTTTAAAGTTCGTCTTTCTTATATTTATTGCTTTGTTTATCTTTGAGAATAAAGTAAGAGAGAACATTTTATTACAAGTAGTTTTTGGTTTGAAAGGAAACAGACCTTTCTTCTGAGTAGTTTTTTAAACTTAATTTTCAAGTAGAATCGATTGTTTCTTTTGGTTTGTTGTCATGAATGATGTATTTATCAACTGAAGACCAAGTTAGAAACTCAGTCTTGGATCTTTGTTTTGTTGTTGGGGTAATTAGTACATGTATTTAGCTTAGTAATTTATATTCTAGCAAAAGTTAATGTTTTAAACAAGTTGAGTGATTAAAACTGATCAGAGTAAAGAAAATGAATCGAATTTTTCATTTCGAACTCACAATCTCTTGGTCAATTTTAACCAATTGAGCTATGTTGATTATTTTTCTTTTTAACTAATTATATATACACTCTTTATATATTTATTAATTATTAATACTTAATTATTTAATAAAAATAACCTAAACTTTCTATTGAAATCGGATGTGCTCATCTCTTAAAGTTTAGAAACAATAGAGACCACTCTAAAAAATAGTCAGTTTGGAAGACAGCTTTTCCAATACTATTTGAAATTACACTTCGATCCCTAATATTTTCATTATAGGAAATAGCTTGTAATTTGAATCTATAAAATCGCTTTCCATATGAAGTTTGTTAATTATTATTAATTTTCTACAGTATTTAGTTTGTTTATTATAATTTTGAATTGGGAAACCCACAAAAATATATGAATCACATTATATTTGGATAATCTAAACAGATATTACACAAATCTTCTTTTTAGAAAGATATTATACAAATCTTTTAATAAAAATAGTATAGAAATTCATAGTTACCAATATAGGAAGTTCGAAAAATATTTTATTGATTGTAGTAGATATTTATCCATAAATATTCAAGAGTCAGTAAATATAATATATTATTGTAATTTTGTAAAATCTACCGTTGGATTTATTTTAATTGAATGCAGTACCCCGCTGAAACTGGAAATATTTACACCCACGCTCACTCTTTCTATTATTATATTTGAAAAGAGAAGAAAGAGGTGCCGATTCCTCCACTGCCCTCGTATTATAAATTATAATTTAATGTGATATGAATTATCTTTGCCATAATGTGATATGCGTGTCAATAGACTAGGCTGTGGGACCACCCACTTCAAAGGGGGAAGGGATAGAGCCGCCATTTTACGGTTTCAGTGGTGGTAAATAAGTCAGTTAGATGGGGCGTGGGGGAACACGCGGTAAAACCGAGGAGTTCCGCCACACGCGCGTGGAGCCATGGGAGTGACGTCGTCGGAAGATGCCCCTCCATCGTGGCCGTTGATTTCGCACATCTCGCAGATTTTTGATCGGACGAAGACGTGGGCCCACCAAGAGACGGTTAGGATTCAGCCTTCTGTGAACCGTGATGTTATATAAAAGGAAAGGGTCGCATTACGTCGTTATTGGAGCTGATTTCATCTCACTGTCCATTTAGAGAGAGAGAGAGAGAGAGAGAGAGAGAGAGAGAGAGAGAGAGAGAGCGAGGCAGAAAGAGTTTTGACTCGGCAAAGGACTGTGCAAGTTTAAACTCATCTCTCTTCTTTCTAGGGTTTTCACACTCCTCGTTTCTTCTTCTCTCTGACCAAGGTACTGATTTCTTCTTCGCATGGTGGTTTAGGTTCTTCAAACGCTTCCCCATTCTCTGTCTCTTCTGCTTTTTGATCTTCTGAAGAATTTTTGTCACTTGTCTTATCTTTTTTATTTCTTTTCTTCCGCATTTGGACGAGAATGCGGCTACTCTGTGCTGTCAGAGCTGCAATGCTGTTCTGTTTTAGCTTTGTTTGAAGCCTAGTTCCTATTTTATTCCTTCTTAATTGTTTGTTTTTTCGACGTTTCTCTTCTCGCTGTTCGGAGTGTCGTGTTCCGCTGTGTTTTCAGTGATTTCTTCTGCTTTTAGACTTCAATCGGTTTTCCGGAGTAGGGCTTGAGTTTTCTGTTTCCGATCACGCAAGTTCGTGCATTTTCGGTAACGGACTTCTTTTTGTTTTTGGTTTTGGTTTTGAAGATGCGCTAGTGGTACGAATTTCTTATGATATTTATCTAATTGTTAACGACTTTCAGTCTCTTGATACACTGTCTATGGTAGCGTTGCTTTTTGATCGCTGTCTTTCCCTCTCTCATTTCTGGTTCTGTGCTCTGTTTTTATGTCTCGGAGGATTTATCTGAACATCCATCCAGTTGACGTTATCTGTTCAAGTGTTTCTGCATGTGTGTTGCATGCTGGTTTTCAAAGTTCTTATGTCTTCTGAATTACTTGCTGAATCTGATGCTTAATTTTTCGGCTCCGCTTCGTTGGATAGGATATGAAAATTTCTGTGGCTGATGTATCTCTTAGCTGTCTTGATGCTTTGTACTTCACTAGTCCAAGAGACGATTCTCTAAACAAATTTTGTAACCATGCTTGCTCGTTTTTAACAGTTTTCGTGCCTTTCAACGCCATATCCGTTGCGTAATTTTTACTTTTAGTTGGATCCTAAAAGTCATTATCATCGTCATGATTAATATTTCTAAGAATAGTATCGTAACTTTGTGTGCCTGTTAATTCGTCATGCAAGTTTTACATTGTGCTTCTGTTGATATTCTTTCAACCTAATTGGTCTGCATGAGGTTTCTCTTATTGTATGTTTTTTCTGGTCGGATTAGCTGCAATGGTTAATTACAATTTTCTATGTTCTTCGCTCCTCCAATGGGCTGAACGTTTCTTTGTGCAGTATAGTTCGTTGTTATATGCACTCCACTATGAACTGGGAATTTGTATTTTTTCTGTGGGTAGTTGGTTTGGCATATGTACTGTGGGTTTTCAAGTTCTATAAATCGAGCTGCTCAATATCTGTCCTCGTATCACTTGTTGGAATCTGCATTCCTTATGAACAATACAATAATGTTGTTGCGACTTAGTTTTAAATGAAAGCCAGATCTAGTTTTAAATGAAAGCCAAATGAGAAGATCATTACATTAGAGTTTCTAGCCAAATGTGTCTTATCTGTCATGTGTACATTACTTCAGGATGAGTTCAAATGAACCAGATGGAAATGGAGTAGATGGGGCGTTGCCCCCTCCACCTCCCCCACCTCCTATTCCTCCTAATGTTGTGCCAATTCAAGCTGAATTAGAACAGCCTCCAGAATTAGTGAAGAAAAAAGTTGTCCGGGTTCCAATTGCTCGACGTGGCCTTGCTTCAAAAGGCCAGAAGATAACTCTACTTACCAATCACTTTAAAGTAAACGTGACTAATATTGAAGGCCATTTTTTCCACTACAGCGTACGTTCCTTCCTCTTTTTTTTTCCGCCTTCTTTAAACCAATGTATGTTTCTATGTTCATATTTATTTAATTTTTTCCATTACAGGGTATTGTTATGGATATCTTATTCATATTTTAATAATATTTATAATTTTCAGGTTGCCCTTTCATATGAAGATGGTCGCCCTGTTGATGGGAAGGGTGTAGGAAGAAAAGTGATTGATAAAGTTCATGAGACTTATCACGGTGAATTAGCTGGAAAGGAATTTGCTTATGATGGAGAGAAGAGTTTATTCACTGTCGGCCCTCTCCCGAGGAATAAACTTGAATTTACTGTTGTGCTTGAAGATGTCTCATCTAACAGGTATAATTGATCTTATTTATAATTGAAACTATTACAAATAAAGTTGATGAATCAAACCTGTTTGCTTATTAGTATAATATATTTCGATTCCGACAGGAACAATGGAAATTGTAGTCCTGATGGTCATGGAAGTCCTAATGATGGTGACCGAAAAAGGATGAAGCGTCCCTACCGTTCAAAATCATTTAAGGTAGAGATTAGCTTTGCTGCAAAGATACCTATGCAGGCCATTGCCAGTGCTTTACGTGGTCAGGAATCTGAGAATTTCCAAGAGGCCATTAGAGTGCTGGATATCATCTTAAGGCAGAATGCATCTAAGCAGTAAGTGCGGCCTTTTCATTTTATCACTCTTTCCTGGTGGAGACCCTATCATTACTACATCTGATTATAGGACTATATATATGGTTCGGATATTTTTTCTAACAAGAATCTGGTTTGTTGCAGAGGTTGCCTACTTGTCAGACAATCATTTTTCCATAATGATGTAGGAAATTTTGCTGATGTAGGTGGAGGTGTTCTTGGCTGTAGAGGCTTCCACTCTAGTTTTAGAACAACCCAGAGCGGCCTCTCCTTAAATATTGGCAAGTTCTTATCATCTTACCTTTCTTTATATTTCTGGATTTTTCTATATTCTAATTGATTCTATTATTTTTTTTTTCCTTCAGATGTTTCCACCACTATGATTATACAGCCTGGTCCTGTTGTAGACTTCTTAATTGCAAACCAGAATGTGAGAGATCCTTTCTCACTGGACTGGACCAAGGTGACCAACGTTCGATTGATGTTCTCTGTGCTACTTATTTTTCTTTGCCTGACAGCTTTTTGTATGCTCTTGAACAACAGGCTAAACGAACACTCAAGAATTTGAGGATTAAAGCCAGCCCATCTAATGCAGAATACAAGATAACTGGATTGAGTGAAAAGCCTTGCAAAGAGCAAACGTATATTTTTTCTTGCTGTTACCTAGTATCCATTTTTGTTTCAGTGTTACAAATTGCCAATAAATAATGGCATTAATGTGCACTGAATTTTGAGATTCTAAGGGGCTATGTGAAAATAATTTCAAATCACTATTCTGGTGGTCCTTTTTTTTCTTTTTTCTTTTCTAATTATTCAGAACTAATATGGCGGTAAAGTTTTTTGGATGTTTGTTTTTTAAACGTTATTTTTCCTCATTATCTTTTCACGTCATGAATAACATACTTTTCAGAAAAAGATTAGTTATTCATGGATATTTGAATAGTGCTTTCAATGTGCCCAATAAAATTAATTCTTATT